AATAAGTTTTTAAATTTAGATATCAATATTTAATAAAATGTAATTTTAATTTTCAAATATAGATTAAAACTTTAATTATTTTTAAAAATTAAAATTAATATACACTAATCTCAAATTCTATTTTTGTCATAAAAAATTAAAATTGGATCAATAAAATAAAAAAAGTAAATTTCCATATTACCAGTAAGCCACCACTCTTTGGATTTTTTTAATTTCTTTTAAAAAAAGAAAAAAAAAAGGTTTTACTCGACAAAAACCAGAAAAACCCAAAAAGACCTTAAAAAAGGGAAAGAAAAACGGGGAAAAAAACTGTTCTAAATCCTATTCTACTTAAAAAAGGAGAAAAATATTATTCTTTTCTTTCTAAATAGAAGTATAGAGAACACAGGAAAACGGTGAGCACAGTATAAATAACAAATTTCTTTTCCAAGTTAACTTGAGAACTAGAGGGCAAAGCGGCGTTCGAGACAAGGATTTCGTTGAGAGAGAAGAGAAACCACACGACTCCAATAGAGTTTAGTAATAAGCAAGTATGTGATTGTTTAATTGTCCTTCTATCAAATTTATGATTTTTTTATTTTTGGGTGGAGGATTTCCAATGCATGTTGCCCCTTAATTATGATTTGAATTACAATCTCAGTTGATTTAAATTTATGATTTCATATGATGTTTTTCTATCTGCTTTCATGGATCTCAACTTGATTTGATGCGTATTAACCTTAGGCATGGCTGATTTAAGCTTTCCATATTCCCATGACGACGTAGAAGAAATCACTGATGGATTCTGCGAAGAAAATTACATTGGAAAATTCCAATTTGGCAAAGTGTACTATGGTATAGCTTGGGAGGATGAGGATGAGGATGAAAGAGTTGAGGTGGTAGTGAAGATTTGGGAAGATAATTCAATTTATGAAGTCCGTCCTGGAGATAACAGAAGCAGATTAAGTGTAAACTCCGTAACTTTTAATTGATTTACTTGTTTATGCACATATATCTCCATTGTCACCAATCATAATATTTCAACTTTTATATTTCATTTTATAGGATGAAGTTCAATTGTTTCAGCACTTTGGTGAAGATTCTCATCCAAACCTGCCCAAGCTGTTTGGGTATTTCCAGGAAGGAGAACGATTTGGCTGTTTATATGAAGTCAAGCCCTTGGATGCCCTAAACAACCTCATTCCGAAAGGTATACTTGCTTCAACTAATAAGAACTAATATAATTCTGCACCTTTTTTTTTTAATGCATGGTTAGAATTGTTGGTTTCAGCTCCTTGTGGATTTGTTGTTTGAAATGTGGCCCTTAAGAGGGCATCTTTATCCCTGATCACCATCTATGCAGCTCTAGATCGTTTCATGCTGTTTGACCTCCAACCCTAAGTGACTAGTATTTGTATACTATATTTGTATCCTTATGTTTATGGTAACTGTTATTTACATTATTTTTCTCAGATAGTTTCAGCTGGCCGGAGAGAATCAAGGTTGCTGTTGGATTTGCTTCCATCCTTGATTTTATGCATTCTCACAATCCGCCACATTTGATTCGCAATATAGATGCAGCTCATATTATAATTGATGTGGTTTGTCTCCTTTTGCCTCTTTGATTGTAGATTTATTAGCATACTTCTCTTTGTGCTGGGCATTTTGCTGAGTCAAGTTTCCTTTCTAATGATTGTAGGATCACAATCCACTACTATTTGACTTTAGTATGATATCTGGCGGGGTTCTTACTGATAAAAAGGACATTCTGAATCAGTATGTATTTGGCTGCTATGGTTATATTGATCCAAGTTGCATCAAGGGTATGCCTGACACTTATCATATGCATTTCTTTTTTCCTCCTTAAACATATTTTTTGTTCCATGCTATGGCTGGAACTCTATTGAAACCATTAAATAATACATGTGTTCACCTGTTGTTCTGAAATACATTGACATTCATGAAGAATATCAGGAAAAAACAAAAAATGAAATGCAGGGAATGGAAATAAATGAAAGGAATAGACTAGCCTTTTGCACAGTTAGTGCATCTTCTGTATTAGACCTCCCTACAAAATCATTTATCCAATGGTGATATTAATTTGATCATATAATTGCTAGAAAGTGAAAAGTTTACAGAAAAGATGACATATGACCTGTGCACACTTGGATAGAGCTGCCTTGTTCTTGTGTGGTAAGGATAACTGAAATAAGTTAGTCCAGGATGGGGTGGTTAAGATTCAGTTCTGATAATTTTTAAGTGGTCTGATGTCAAAGGAATTTTTTTCTGAAATTAAGGTAAAAGAAAACAGGTGATTGGTATAGGGATCACAATTAAGATCATGTTAGCATCAGTAAAGTTCTAGTCCCGTGCCTTTATGCCATACCCTAAATTTTGTTAATTGAAGCGTTCCCAAGTCTCAATTGCAGTTATTCTGAAGGTCAAGACCTAAGAAAATTTGTAGTCTCAATGAACAACCAAAAGAAATATGGTGTGATGAATTATTAATGAGATCAGATGATCTTGAATTCATAATAGTGGTTCTGCACTTAGTGTTTGATGCCACATCAGGATTATTGTATTTATAGATTGATAGATCATTCTTGTCTTGTGAATTCCATGGTTTCTTAACTGCGTCTCCCTTAACAGGTGGATGGACTGACAAATGTGATGTTTTTGCGTATGGCGTTGTGCTTTTGGGGTTGATAAGCAAAAGAGTGTACACAGATGAAGACAGAACAGACCTTAGACCTTTTGTTTATGAATGGGCAAATTCTGAATATGAATCAGCAAAGAAGTCTTCACTTGTGCACAAAAGTTTGGAATCTGGACCGTTTTTCCATCCTGCAGATGGAGTCAAAATCACTAAACTAGCATTGCAATGTGTGGATCATAATCCTCATAAGCGCCCCACAATAAGCCAAGTTCTTACATCTTTGCTGGAATTGAGCATTGTTTGTCATCATGCTGACACTTTGGGCATTAATCAGACTGCTGGTGGTGATGCTGAGATGCAAAAGGATGAACTTTCAGGTACATTGAAAATTTTGGTTTATAAAATAAATGAAAAGAGCTGGACAACTTTTTGAAGGACAGCGTAGAAATTTTTCACTGTGATAGAGTAGTATGGGAACAAGAACATTTTAAATGCTATTGATATACATATAATGAAGACAGAATGAAGCAGCAATGTCGTGAAATTTTTTGACAGTCTATCACATAGAATTGAAATTTGTCAAATTAATTTAAATTACTGATGTATCAGCTATTTGGAAAGCGTAGTTCACTTAACTATCAACTCTGTTAATTTACACAGGATCCTCCTCAGATTCAATTCACAAGGAAAGGATTCTAGATAAAAGGGAGAGGATGACAACATCAATTGATGAAAGTATTCTAAACGAAGGGCAGAGGATGCTGACTTCAATCCAAAGAGGTTAGGAGCGCACCTTCAATTGCCTTGTCCTTTTTGTTGGTTTCTTCATTAGTACCAACCAAGTTGTTTTTCATGGCCATACATTTTGATATTCAATTTATTATTTTTTTTTTTTCACTTTTTGTTTGGCACAAAAACTACCTATTTCTTCTAATCATTTGAACTTATTTTATTTCCAGCATTTTAATGCTAGAAAGATTTCCTAAAAGCAAAGTGACTGCTTAACTCCTTTCTTGCTGTTTTTACTGTTAGTGTGGTGATTCTTGTACCTTACATTGTTGAAGCAAATCTTTACTTCTTTTAACTCTGAATTTCAGTTTGAATTTACTTGCTTGAGAGCCTACTCTTTAGTATGAACTTTCATTAACCTATTCAATTTGTTAATCTTCCAATTTTTTTTATACGAATATATTCAGGAAAAGAGTGTGCTGTGGTACAAGTTTATTCTTACAAAGACCTAAGTCTATTCACCAATGGATTTAGGGAAGAAAACTTCATAGGAAAGTTCCACTTTGGCAAAGTGTATGTCGGAGAGATTGAAGGAAAAATGGTGACAGTGAAAATATGGGACCCAGAGTCTGAAGTTTATGAAGTTTCTTCCATTGAAAATGAAGGCAGGTTGATGGTATGTCGTTAAAATGACTCCCCACTTGCATGTTGTGAGTTTTTCTTTAAATTACCATATGCCTAATATTTTAGTATTTTACCCTTTTTCTTAGGATGAACTTGTTCTACTTCAGCATCCAGAACTGATATCCCATCCAAATCTTGTCAACTTGATGGGATACTGCTATGAAGGACAAAATCTCGGTGTTGTTTACAATCTTGAGCCTCTTGATACTCTTCATAACCTCCTATTAAAGGGTATATTTATGCTTTTACTTTCACTGCTAAGAAGCTAGAAAATTATTTGATTGTTATTTTGATGTTTTGTGGTATTCCCCTTTCTGGTATGGGTGTTAGAAAGGGGAAAAAGTGAGGTATATCAACATGTCTAGAAATAATTTTCTTTCAGCCTTCATTTCAGTTGCATTACCTTGTCATACTGTACGTAGATTTTTCTTCCTTGTGATTATTTGAGTTTACCCACCATCACAAATCTGTGTTAAAGTTGCAATTTATGTTGTCTCTTTTTATTAAAATTCATTTAGCTTTGTGAATTTCAAGTTCTTGGGATTCTATGCTTAGAGCATCTTCAGGATTTTTGTAAGCTAAGCTATCAAGTTTAGCTTCAAACTCATATTTAGTTAAAGAGATTTGGCAATGCTGCAGATTATTTTTCGTATTTTCTTCATTCCTTGCCAGACAAGAATTGATCAACTTCAATGGTAACTTTTTCAACGAAACATCTTTGTATTTCAGATACTTTTACTTGGTCTGAAAGAATCAGAGCTGCTCTTGAATTTGCATGCCTACTCAAATTTTTACATGCTGACACTCCACATTCTCGTCAATATCTGGTTCGCAACATAGCTGCCGCTCATTTAATTCTCGACCAGGTTTGCTTCAGTGCCATCTTCTGATCTTGTTGTCATACATTCCTACTTATCTGCTTATTAACTGAAGATGCTTCAACACGCAGGATCACAATCTGAAGTTGTTTGATTTTGGTATGATTTCTGGTGGTATCTTTCCTGATCGTACAAAGCGTAGAGAGTATGTACGTGGGTGTATTGGCTACATTGATTTTGAACTTTGGAGAGGTAATCAGCATGACTTTGGTTAATTTACTTTGTTTGTCTATTTTATGTACAATAACTGAATTTGCGAATCCTAATCATGACAGGTTCATGGTCAGAAGCATCTGATGTCTTCTCGTTTGGCATAGTACTCATTGGTCTAGTATCTAAAAGAGTTCGCACGGAAGAAGAGGAGGCATCGGGAGAACCTTTTCTTGATGAATGGTTGAACTCTCAGTACGATGAGAAAACTTCAGAATTGGGATTTGACAAGACCCAGTTTTCAATTGTGCACGAGAGCCTAAAGGGAGATCCGGGTTTTTGTTCAAATGATGGAGTTGCCATTACGAAACTGGCAATGCAGTGCGTAAAGGGTAAATTTGATAGGCCTACAATGAAGCAAGTTGTTAAGCAACTCCTTAATCTCAGTATTGTTCGAAACAACATGCAAGTGCCTAAGCGTCTAGCAAATGCTACGTGAGTTGTAACTTCCTGTGTAACAAAAAGGAAAAAAGGCGGACACCCTGAGCTTTTTCTTGAGAATCCCTAATTAAATTAGATCTTAACATAATCTGCATTGGTGGTTTTATATTGGCTTATGCTTCTAATTGAAAGTCTCATCTCTAAGAACAAAAGTGGAGTCCGAGCTCAGCTCCCTAGCCAAAATAGTTGAATTTGAGTATGGGTCTGATTAAAGAAAGAGTTTTCCCAAGAGCCAGAATTGAATTAAAACGAGTTTTCCAGCCGGTGTGAGGGTTCATGTTGGAACTTGGGGTTGAAAGCATATCATTGACCAGTTTTCTCTAGGCTATCTTTTCCCCCCACCCTTTCAAAATGTAACAGCACGTAAGAAATGCAGAAGAGGATATAACTGGATAAAATTAAAATAATAGGATAAGATTAGATTGGATGGTATTAATTATATGATATCTAATTTATATTTAGAGTATAGATGGATTAGATATAAATATATATGTTTATAGACAAAAATATCCTTATAATGTAATATAATAATAATTTTTAAAATTTTTTAAAATTGCAATTTTATTTCTTATAAATGCAAAAATAAGAAAATTGAATTAATTTAAAATAATTCAAACAATAATATAATTCTGATTTATTAATAAAATTAATTCTCATTAATTAACCAAACAAATTAGGTTTCCTTATTTAATTATTTAATTTATCAATTATTATTAAATATTTTTCTTTTCTTTTCTTTTTTTTCTTGGAAACAAGTAGAAACCTGAAAGCCCCCTTCATCTTTCTATTGTTCATCTTCTTCAGCAAGACTAGGGTGCCTATTTTTAGTCATAGCCTCATAGGTTTTGGTATTTGACTTGATCTTTAGTTGGGTTCTTTGATTTCAACAAAAGATAGGTTGAATTAGGATGAAGTAGTAGGGAAGCAATGCGCCAAGTTACTAATAGAGAATCTTCCAATTTTTGCTGATGATGCCATCAGACCACCTTGCCAAAGATGAAGATGATTGGATTTTGTAGTCCATTTGTTGAAGATCGGAGAGACTTTGTTTTCCCTGCATTAGATTTGTGAAGCCATCAAAGATATAGATCTAACTGGAGCTCCACTTTCTCAGTCCAAAGTTAAGAAAAGGAGAGGCGAGCCATTAAGAAGAAAATAATGAGAATAAAGGGGTAGGGTTGGTAAATTGGATCCAATCCATTCGTATCCCATGGGTATGTGGGATTAAATTTATCTCTTGAGGATGGGATTGGATAAATCATTGGATATTGTCTATCTTATCCCGAATACTCTCCAAACAAGAGATTAAGTTGGACAAGATAATTTTTTATCCAATCCCATAATTTGTCTAGGCCTCCAAATGAGCCGTAAGGGGTTAGCCGAAAATGCTCGTAAGATACAATGAAATCTTGTTTATTGTGTCTTGCACTAGTGAAATCAACCATTGAATCGCAATTCTTCAAGCAACAAAACTATCACTTTTGTATAAGGATTTTTGCAATAATCATTACATAGAAGAAGACTGTTATAATTTGGTAACAATAGGATGTTGTACAAATTTTACATATTTGAATCTCTAGTAGAAGAGGATGTAGACAGGCCTTTTATAATTAAGCTATAAGTGTCAGTTGGTAATAAAAATTTCCAAAGAACATGTCTCTTCTAATTTAAATGAAAGAGTTCTATTATGGAAAAGTACATTTTCATTTACAATTTTTCCCATCTATTGTCTTCGTTTCTCTATTTTGAAAATCTCTCCAACATTTCCCCACCATTTTAAAAATAGAACATGGTATTAATAGTTTTGGAAATCTTATGCTTGCCATGAAGGTATCTTGAGATTTGAACCTTCACTTAATGGAGATGTGTTGGCAAATTAGCTAGAATTGCATGGTAAACTAATGCTTTGAACTAGAGATTCTAAGTGACTAATTGGCCAAATGTCACACTCAATACTTCAAGCATTCCAAAGTAAGAATTCACTATCGTTAGCACAAAAACTAGCCATATGTCCTATATCCCTTTTATGAATGGTATTAGAGTCAAGTCTTAGCTCCTAGAAGTGGCACCACTTCCACTCATATAAGTGGATCTCATCAAAAGTGCCCCACATTAAGCACGTGATAGAAATATCTATTATAAGACTTATTAAGAACAAAGCTCAACCTCCGCTTTGTTTCATATGGTTACCAAGTACTCTTCCACTTAGGACCATATTATTTTATAAATTTGAGTACTTGCAATCACATTCATGATGTACTTTACTCATTGAACTTAAGACTTGATGTTTTATCAAGTATTAAGCCAAGGTTCCATCATATGTGACTTTAATCAATGGACTTGGACCCATCCCTTTCCTTGCCTTGTAAATTTTCTTTTCGACAATCCTTTAAATCAAGGATTCATCAAATTAATTAATTCTCACAAAACCTTAGAAAAATTGTAGTGATCACCTTATTAAGAGTTATTGTTTCCATGTCTACAATTTTATGACATTTGCCACATGGACATCTCTATAAGCACTCTCGATGACATCATATTATTTCTAGTAATCACACACATTCATATAAGAATGTCTTAAATTAATATGAATTCTTGAAAAGTGTAGACATCTCCAAGAACAAGTGCTATCATTTTTCAATAGTAACATATATCACTCTATAATATCATGAACAAGTAGAATTCCTTCTTTCCTTCACTTCCAAATTTATTTCTTTGTTTGCTTTTCACATTTCAAGGACATTATTACTTATCTCTCTTGCTCTTGGGATTGTCCCCATAATTTTAGGTATCTCCTTTCTAATTTCTTGGCACCAACATTTCTTCATAAAAAACATATCAAGATTTTATCTCTAAATTTTTGATTTATTAAAAATGTTTCAAATCGTATAAAAATTATTCAAACTATGTTTCTGATACTCTTTAGGCTCTATGTGCAATAGCTTTGAATCAACTTTGAGTGATGTGAATCCAGATCTTGAAACTTTTTGAGCTCACTGTGTAATTGATTGAAATCAACTTAAAATCCTGGAACAACTCAATTCATGACAATTATTTTCCGTGACTAAGAGCCATTCACTCTTACTATAAAAATATTTAATCTCTTAAGGAGATTTCCAATGCCGCCTTTTTTTTTTTTCTTTAAATTTTGTCTATAAGCTGTACCCTTGTAGGCAGATGACTTTATGGAATTGTAATTTCATTCCTTCCAATTTGTCCATTTTGGACAATCATGATAGGCTTCCATTAACAAATCAAGTACACAAATTTACACTTGTTTTTACAAGCTATCTCATCAAGAGATTTCATCTAAATAAGGATTAAAAAATCCTTCATGGCCAAAGGCCTTGTCAAATCTTAATCAAAATTGAGAGCCTTTTCACTTGGTCTCTCTTAACCTTATTTATATCCAAACCAAGATCATCAATTTGATCTCCAAAATAGGTTGCCAGATCCCATTTTAGTATTTCTTTTTTCAACAAGACTAAATAACCATTATGAATCTTGATTCTCACTTGTTTCAATGTTTATAAACTATTGTATAATCTTTTACAAGTATAAACTAAATTTAAAAACACAAACACATTAACAAAAAAATCACAAAATATTTTGTAAAAAAGAAAAAAAAAAGGAAAAATGGAGAAGTAGTACCATCTATTTGGTAGAAATTTAGAAAATAAAGTCCCTCATGATTTAACATTGAATTTTTCTAGTTTGTACTCTAAAAATATAGGTTAAGAGTGTAATTATTATATATTTTTATATTAATTAGTATTAAAAAAAACTTGAGATTTATTTAACTAACTATTTAATTAAAACAATTCACGTGACGTTGATGACAAAATTAATAACTGCTCTTGTATTTCTCAATGCTAATTAAGGTAAAAATAGTGCAATAATTACACTTTTAACATGTGCCCATAAGGCACTAGTTAGAAAAACCCTTTTAGCATTATATTTTTTTCCCCTTTGAACCAAACAATGTAAAAAATATTGTGAATTTTTCTATTGGTGGATGCTACACCTTTACATTCATCTTCTTCCATGTTGTAACTTCTCACCACTAAGGGGTCATTCATGATTCCACTAGAGGCCATTTAAAGGTCCATTAAGGTGTCATTCATAACTCCACTAAAGTGCTGTTCATTCTCTCATTTAGTCCGCATTTAGTCCTATTCAATGGTTAATGTAACCCCACATGTCCCTTAGTTTATATACAAGCTTACAAGTTTATATGATTCGTACATAAAAAAGTACATGATAAAATAGGAAATTCTCACTTCTGCTTTGTTATTATGTTATTTTTTTTATTTTATAATACATTATCAACACGAACGTCTCCACTATTCAATTTATAGTGAGATCTTAACATAATCCTTTGGTTTTTAGTTTTAATTTGATTTCAATATTTGATGAATTTTTTGCAATTACAATGTCAAACTTGACAAAACTTGAATTTGCTACCTTTAATATAATGAGCTCAAATTATTTACTATGGACACTTGATATTGAAATCCATTTGGTTGCAAATAATCTTAGTGAAACAATTATTGAAAGACATCAAGCATCCTTGCAAAATCGTGCTAAAGGGTTGATATTTCTTCACCATCATTTCCATGATGGATTGAAGGTTAAATATTTGACAATCAAAGATTTATTTGAATTATGGCAAAATTTGAAAGAAATATATGATGACCAAATATTAGTGATCCTGCCAAAAGCTTATTATGAATGGATACATTCGCGGTTGCAAGATTTTAAATTTGGTAGTGAGTATAATTCTGCAACATTTCACATTTCATCCCAATTAAAATTATATGGAGAAAATATTATTGATGAAAACATATTGGAGAAAATATTATCTACTTTTCATGCCTTAAATTTGCTTTTTCAACAACAATATTAAGAGTGTAATTTTTAAAAATATTTAGATTTAATATCATGTTTTCTTGTTGCTAAACAAAATAATGAACTTTTGATGAAAAATATCAATTATGACCTACTAGTTTAGTCCCATTATTTGCAACAAATGCAACCTTTTATAATAATAATGAGTGGGGTTGCGACCATCGTCATGGTTATAATTGTTGTAATAATTGTGATTGAGGATATGGTCATACTCGAAATAATATTTAGCATCACAATGGTTTTAACCCCAAATATGAATTTGCTAAATAAAAAAAATGTAAGGGGTAAAAATTTACAAAATAACCTTACAAAATAACCTTACAAAAGATATTAAAAATGTTTGTTATTGATGTGAAGTAAAAGAACATTGGGAACATGCTTACTCAACTACTAGGCATTTGGTTGAGTTTTACCAAGTCTCACTTAATGAAAAGAGAAAAGGTCTAGAAATGAATTTCGTTAAGTATAACAATATGGATCTTGATACACACTGATGTTGTAGATTTTTTTGAAGATGTTGAAAAGTTTAATGGTATTAGTGGTGGAAATACCCAACCAAGATTTTGAATTTTTGCGTTCTCTTAAATAATTTGCCCTAAATGGCTATTTCTATTTTTTTTACATGCATTGTCCTTTTAGATTCAATAAAAAAAATCATTTCAGAATAAATATATATTAAATATTATCGCTTTTGTTTCGTTTGTTTTTATTTTAAGACCAAATAAACTTGAATGGTGCTAAAATCAATAATGAAGACCTATGTCATGTTGATAGTAGCACAACACATATAATCTTAAAAAAATAAGAATTATTTTTCTCAATTAAATTTAGTTAAGGCTGGTGTTTATACAATATCTAATATAACAAAATTGATTGAAGATTTTGGAAAAACTTGTATTTTATTGCTTGGAGGAACAATATTATTAATATACAACACTTTATATTCTAGTAAATCAAATTGAAATCTACTAAATTTTAAGGATATATGTTATAATAGTTTTTATATTGTACTCATGAATCAAAATGAAATAAAGTTCCTCTATATCACAACTTTTGCATTTGGCAAAGAGAAAAATATTGGAGAAAATGTTATCTTTCTTTTTTGGATTGTATTATATATATATTCATCTAATGGAATCTAATGCTATGACTAGTTAATAATTAGTCAATTCAAATGCCTTTATCCTTTTGCATAATTGACTTGATCATCTAGGTGCTATTTTGATGTAGGAAAAACATGACTAAGAAAAACCCATTGAAATAAAAACCCTAGCTAAGGGAAAAAGAATACAATATATATAATACTCCCCCTCACTTCAACAAAGCTCTTTAAGGTGTGACATACCTATCTTGTGTACAAGTTGTTCAAAAATTTTGATAGGTCATGACTTTGTGAAAAGATCTGTAATATTTTTATTTGAACTAATTTGCTAAATATTTATTTTACTAGCATTTGCATATTTAATTAACTTTAGTTTTGAGTGTTTTGAATAAAATAGTCCAATGTATTTTTTTTATTGAAGATAATGAAATACATGTTTAATGCCATTATAATGTCTT